TAAGGCATTGTCTGCAAACAAAATGGTTTCCCTTCCAGCTCCCAGAGACAGACACATGTTAGGATGAAGAAGGCGTTTTAGATTTATTAACTTGCAGAAACTGATAAAAATGTCTATTTGCCCTGAGTTCCTCTTCAAGCAGATCACATGAGGGAGGGGGGCAGTCAGGGAACCGCCCCCCCCACCAGAGGGCGGCAGTCAGGGAACCGGCCCCCCAGAGGGCAGTCAGGGAACCGGCCCCAAGGAGAATGTGGCAGGAAGCGCTCAGTCATTAGAGGGTGCCATTCTCGCCAGGCCTACTGGTCCTCTCCTCACTCCCTGTGGCTGAGCAGAACAAGAGGATAAAAAAGTATTAGCTGAGGGGAAGGGCGGAAGATAAACCCGTTTCTTTGTCCGGGACGGGCAAAGTCAAGGATCGCTTTAAGGCTCCTCATGAGTGAAAGAGCTGAAATCCAATGAATGTCAGGGAGCTGTGGCGGGAAGGTCTAAATGATGGACGTTCCCCACCCGGAGTCTCAGACTTGCTGCAGCTTCTAATGTATTGAGAGAGTTACAGGCATGGCTCCCAGAGGCCGAGGTATGATGGGATTTGTAGTTAAAGCACAGCTGGAGGGCCGGAGTTTTCCACCTCTGGTCTACAACAGTTGAAAAAAAAAAAAAAAAGAAACACACAAGATAGACACGAGCCAAATGTTCTGCTTCCCAAACCCAAATCGGCAACTTATCAGAAGCAGCTGACCGTGCTCAAGGTCGTGCTGATAGCACACTGACTGCCGAACGCCCGAATGTTACACCGCGATCGCCAGGAAACACTGCGAGTGTCATTTAAGAAAACAAGAATTGGAGTCCAAACTTAGTCCCGGGCTCTGTGACGGCCCGGGGAGTCTCACACACGTAGCAGAAAAATAGGATTGTGCGTGTTTACTGCATTTCATCTTTCAAGAGCCTTCAGCACCGATTGTGGGGCCCTTGTACAAACGTAGCATCATTGAGCTGTGATAGTGATCTCCAGCAGTCTCATGTAATGAGATTCCAAGTCTGACTGTCTCATGAAGCATGTCCACAGTCCCCAACAACTCCGATAGTGTGTCTGCCGGGTATCTCCAGTTCCATGCTCACCACTGAGATTCCTCAGCCAAAAAATTACAACTGAACTCCGGGATCAGCAAATATTGTCCTCATACCTGAGTCCTGTGTGTTCTTCCTGAACCTCGGGGAGCTTTGTGTATTTCTTCTAGATTTGGCCAGCAGTCCAGTGTGAGACTTTGAGCTTCCTGTAATAAAGACCGCTCACTGCTGGTCTCTCTCCTTGTGCAGGGTGACTGGTCTTGTCCCCGCCCCCTCCTGTAATAAAGACCGCTCACTGCGACTCTCTCTCCTTGTGCAGGGTGACTGGTCTTGTCCCCGCCCCCTCCTGTAATAAAGACCGCTCACTGCTGGTCTCTCTTTGTTCAGGGTGACTGGTCTCGTCTCCGCCCCCTCCTGTAATAAAGACCGCTCACTGCTGGTCTCTCTTTGTTCAGGGTGACTGGTCTCGTCTCCGCCCCCTCCTGTAATAAAGACCGCTCACTGCTGTACTCTCTCGTTGTGCAGGGTGACTGGTCTTACTCTGCCGCCTCCTATAATAAAGACCGCTCACTGCTGCTCTCTCTCCTTGTGCAGGGTGACTGGTCTCGTCTCAGCCCCCTTCTGTAGTTACAAGGGCTGCGGACGGGAGGAGGCGGTGGGGCTGCGGACGGGAGGAGGCGTATGGTCACATCCCCAGGATAAGCACAGTACCCCAACCTTGGCTTGGCACCATGTCAGAGTTCAGGCATCCTAATCACCCCCCGCTCACCAAATCTGAAATTTCTACAATACAATAGGAGTGTATCAGCGCCTACTAAGAGATCACATTGTATTGTCCAATGCTGATGATTATAAAAACCTTTGTTCCTATTAATACACATGCACAGCCAGATATGCTCATTAAAGGTGGTCTATTCCCATTCAGTGCTGCAGGGGGGGGGTCGTGTCCATTAGTCTGCCGACTGCACTCGTTTACACAACTCTGTATTCACAATATCATAAAAACACAACATGGGAGTAAAAACACGAATGTTACAAATACGATTATAAAGAAAACAAAGGACGGCGCTCTCTCACACTTCGCTGGTTCACTTTAAGTCAGACAGATTATCTCCACGATTACACACAAATATGAGGAAATATTTACAGGTGATACACTGCCGCTGCGCCGTGCCAAACAGGTCCCGGGTATCTGAATGACTCGGTTGTGAAGTTTATTTACCCAGCGGGCTTTTCTTGGCACGTCGGCCAGACTGCCTTCTGTGATGTAATTCAGCGGTTGGTGAACGGCGGAACATTTTGACCTATGAAACCCCTTAAAGAGGAGGATATGATTGTACACGGCGTATCACGACACACTGTATAGGAGTATTGACATATAAACATAGTGTGACATGAGCTTTATACGTCATCTACAAAGTCCAGTCACCAGCACAGCTGAGGTGATACGGACCTGAAGCCCGGATTCAGCAATCTTTTCTCTGACAAGGTTCTGGCCTGCTCCTCTTCATCCTGCACGTGCGCGTCTTCCTCCTCTATTCTTATGGATAAGCCATACTGCAAGGATGCCATGAACACCCCATACCCATAGGAATGCATAGGGCAGCAGCACACATGCAGTACGAGGGGCAGAAGAATCGGAGGTGGTATTATCCCAGGTGGGTTGTACTGGAGGTGGTGGCATTTATTAAAAGGACAACTTAGCTACAAGTGACATTAAGCTTTACGCCTCATTCACACTAAGAGCCGGCCTGTACAGATCCGTGGCGGCGTGAACGGCCGTATCGGGCCGCTCCCGGGAAGGACAGGTGCTGCGTGTGATTGTGCGCAGCAGCCTGTTCTTCCCTGTGGGAGGACGCAGCCATATGCCGCCCTATGCTCACCCCAACTGCACATCCGTGCGGGTGTCCGTGCTCGGACGCAGACAGGACCCATCCTGTCTGCGTCCGAGTATGGACACACGCACGGATGTGCAGCTCGGGTGAGCGTATGGCCGCGTACTCTCATAGAGAAGAACAGGCTGCTGTCTACAATCACACGCAGCACCTGTCCTTCCCGGGAGCGGCCCGATACGGCCATGCATGCCGCACGGATTTGTAAGGTGCCGGCTGTTAGCAGTGTGAATGAGGCCTAAATGTAAATATTACTGTGTATGCAAGAAAAGTGAAACATCTTTTATGTTGTAATGAATATATTCTGTATAAAGAGGCATCAAATGTTTGCTCATTAGTTATGCAAACCTGCTTCAGGCTTGGCAGTGCTTTTCATTCTTGTTTTTCAGCACAGAGTCGGTCAGGGCTCCATCGCTTTACTGATCGCAGGTGATCAGCAAGAGGCCTCACTGCACTGCTGACCCTTCACTGTCCAATCAGCAAGCTGCAGGCAAGTCAGTGACCAAGCTGGGCTGCCTGGCTGTAGAAGGGTCAGGTCACTGACCTGCTTGCGTCCTGAGTGTGCAGATGAACAGAGATAGGATTCCATTGGCGGCTCACGTGTAATAAAGGCGTTTATGTAGCCGCTTCCCTGGAGTTCAGTTTTAATTAAAAACCAACAGCTGGCGGAAGATTTACACTTTCTGGTGCAGACACTTCTACATGGCGCAGGCTTTGTTCCAAGCCCGACGTTATGTAAACTCAGAGATTTTATGAAAGCTGAACTCCGGGCCAATAACTAAACAAGCAGGTGAAAGGCATCAATAGGTGCTGAGGTACCTGCCAAATGATTCATCATTTTATCCAGCTAGTCTAGAAAGGACCAGCCTACCAGATAACACAGCCAGGTTGTTGACCTGATTTTCCTCTAACGCAGTTAAAGTGACATTAAACCCTCAGATTTTAACATAAAACAATACTGTAATGTGCGCCTTACTGTAATCCATGGTAGTTTCCCTTCTCTTTGCTGCTCTTCCTTTTAAATCTGTATCTGTTCTCATGCTTTGCAGAACTCCTGTTTTGCAGCAGACTGCCTTGTCTCAGAAATGGATACATCGTGTCTGTGTGTAGGTTGTATCTCCACCCCCTCCTGTAATGAAGACCGGTCACTGCTGCTCCCTCTGTGTAGGGTGATTGGCCTGGTCTCCGCCCCCACCTATAATAAAGACAGGTCGCTGCTGCTCTCTCTTTGTGCAGGGTAACTGGTCTCGTCTCTCCACCCCCTCCTGTAATAAAGACCGGTCACTACAACTCTCTCCCCTTGTACAAAGTGACTGGTCTCGTCTCTGCCCCCTCCTCTAATAGAGACCAGTCACTGCCGCTCTGTGTATGGTGACTGGTCTCAACTCCGCCCCCTCCTATAGTTTTCTACAGGAAGCCTGTCGTGGGTGTGACCTGCTGGAGTCCCTCCCAAAGCTCTGCTCAGGCTATGCACAAGGGCACCGGTGCTCCTTTTACAATAACTGGGCCTGCAAAAGCATTTGTTTCTCCCAGAGCAGATTTATACCCCCCGAGGCTATTAAGGAATATAGCTAAATGATTGTTTTTGCTCTCAGAATTCAGCTTTAAAAATTAATTAAAACCACCCGAAAAAGAAAATTAAGATTTCTCAGCCCTGCTATCCATTCCTCAAATCTTCACTCACTTGTAGATCAAGATTCAGGCAAACCCTTCCCATTAACTACTTTGAGGTATGCTGGATGCCTGCGGGCCCCTACATCATCCCAGGACATGGGGGCCAGCAGAAGAAACCACAGCAGAGGGCGCGGGCGTCAGACACACCGCAGACAAGCGTATCAGATGGAAAGATTCCGTCAGCCAGCATGGGGGAAAACGGGCCACGGGACAGTAAAGGGTCTTTTTTAGGCGGTGTTTTTGTACCCATGGACAGTCACTTTAATGGCATTCTAATTGTGGTGCTTATTTAGCATCTGCTTGGAGTTGAGCATGATTAGTACAAGTGCCCCAACTACTTCTACACATTCATATTGAGATACTTACATTGAGCTGCGGATGGAGGGGGTGTCCTGGTCTGTGGCAGAAACTCAGGAAAATCTGCTTTTCTCAAGTCGATCAAACCTGCAGAAGACAGAAAGGAAAAAATAAGCCCAAGTGTCACCTCGGGGAGGGCCGATGTCATGTGACGCCCGTTACATCCCAACATCCTGCGTGACAGAAATATTCCCACATTAGAGATGTTTGTAAACAACGTGACGAGTACAATATTCCGCACATAACAGGAAGCAGACGATACGGACAGCAAAACATTCCCGGCAATCTCTACTCCCGTTATCTTCAGAATGCGGCTGGCACCGCTGGTGATCTGCGACAATGCCCGGCCGTTATTATGTCTCCTCGTAATGTCACCTTTATACTCCCCGAGTAATTAAACTGGAACACAGGAGGAGGTTTCACCCCTTGCTGACACTTATAGTCTAGATAAAAAGAACCTTAAACACATAACGGCTACAATAAAGGCCGATTTACACACGCACGTCATATGAATTATGGTTTAAAAAAAATATGGGGAGGTTAACTACAAAGTCTCAATGATCTAAGCCATCACACAGAATTCTTGTTAGGTCCCCATTGCCAAAGAAAGCCGGCACAGATATATCCGATGCCTAAACCTGCCCACTGCCTTAGGAGAAAGTTTCTCTTAATTAGGTCACATGACCACTAAAAAGCTTCTTATTCTTATTTGTAGAGGAGTCTGATAACATTGGGGGGTCTTCAGTCTACCCAAATCTTGAAAGATTGTTCAAGCCATGCAATGTGATTGGGAACATGTAACCAATATAAAGTGTTACCAATTTGGCAGCGAAAGTGGAAAGAACACTTTGAATCAGAGCCAGGCAGACAAAATGACAGCTGGTACCCAACGTATGAGGTTCTCTCCAGTTGCTGTCAATGAGGCTGGCCCCCGCCTTGGACAGACCGGGCCCCCGCCTTCACTGAAAATCCCAAATTGTGGATTGTCACCAGAACAGGAAAAGGGAAATCTCCCAACAGGGACACTAGTTCTGGTGACCACTAGATATTTCCCTCACTTTTGGAGGGATTTCCTCTTACTTCCTGTTGTGGCTATTAGACAGGAAGTGACGTGAAATCTCCCCAATGGGACACAGATGACGACAAAAAGCTGACTTAAGTTCTGGCTTCAGTTCTACTTTGAATAATAAAAAGTTACAATGTGCGCTTTGTTACAAAACTGAAGACTGGATCAGAGGCCAG